GACATGGGCATCAAGATGCGCAACCAGCGCCTCCTCATCACGGTCATCCCGCACGCCATGACAGGTGAGCCGGTTGGAAAGAGGCCCCGGAGTGGGGCGGAGGTGCCCCGGGCCTCTGTCCTCGGTCCTAAGCGCCCCCTTCCAAGGGGTCCCAAGCGGTGCCTGGGCAGGGAATGGCCCGGGTCCCTGGGGGGGGGCAGCAAGCAGAGTCCGGAGGGGGCTGGCTCAGCCCCTTCTGCGTTTTGCTGCGATTTGGCCTCATCCTGATGAAATCGGGCAGGGGGCAAGGGGCAGGGGGCACAGCCCACCCCCGGCGGGTGCTTGTGGCAGCGGAGATGGTGGTGATGAGACCCAAGAGGTGGGTGAGTGGAAGGGACCAGTTATCCTTTCAAGAGCGAGAGGGCTGGCGGGGAGGGGAGGGGAGGGGGGCTGCCTATGAAGGTGGGACTGTGCCAGGTGTTCTCTCCTCCTCCTCCTCCTCAGGTAGCGACATTGTGGAGTGGCTAGTCCAGAAATATACCATCTCGGAAGAGGGTGAGCCCCCCTTCCCCCCTTTGCCCTGCCTGTCTGCCTAGTGCCCACCTCCTCTTTTGCCCAGGGCATATACAGGCACTCTTGCAGGGATCTTTCTTCCTCTCGAGTAGGCCCTGTGGGCCACCATTGCTTGACCTTCTGATAGTACAGTATTTGAGCTCAACATGCCTCTCTCTGGAGCCAGGGTGTGGTGCGTGCGTGGGCACAGGCAGAGCTCTTGCACCCTCGCAGGCAACGGGTCCAGGCCTCCCGTGGCCGGCGCTCTCTTCAGGCCAAACACAGAGGAGTGGTCACTGGATACTTGTGTGCGGGGGGGGGGGGAGGTCTTTCCCCCTCCCACATTGCAAAGCCCTGGTCTGCTCAGGTCCTTCTGCCAGCAGCTTGTGGGTGGGGTGGGGGTGGGGTGGAAGAAGCAGAAGCCCCCCCCAGCCAGTGGTGAGTACAGCTGACATCCCCCCCCCTGCAGAGTCTCTGCACCTGGGCAACCTGATTGTGAAGCATGGCTACATCTACCCTCTGAAGGACCCCCGCAACCTGGTCCTGCGCATGGATGAGACGCCCTACCGCTTCCAGGTGGGCCTGAGGAAGCCACAGAAGGGTCCTGGGCTTGCTTGAGGGCTCTTAGCCAGTCTCCAGGAAGGCCCCGAGCAGGGGGGGGGGCAGGTGGCCCGTCCCAGTGCAGGGGCTTGGCTGACCTCTCAGGCAAAGCCATGGCCTCCTTCCCCTTGCCTACTGGCCACCTGGTTGAGGCCTTCCTTCCTTGCTTGCTTCCTTCCTTGCTTCCTTCCTCCCTTCCTCCCTCCCTCCCTTCCTTGCTCCCTTCCTTGCTTGCTTCCTTGCTTCCTTGCTTGCTTGCTTGCTTGCTTGCTTCCTTGCTTGCTTGCTTGCTTGCTTCCTTGCTTGCTTCCTTGCTTCCTTGCTTCCTTCCTTCCTTCGCTCTCAACAGACTCCATACTTCTGGATGAGCACCAAATGGCCAGCCACAGAGCTTGATTATGGTGAGTAAGGTGGGGGGTTTAATTCTGTGTCAGGACAGTTCTCTCCCAGGCTTGCCCCCACCCCACCCCCAGTATCCAAGAGGTCCCCATTATGGCCTCTCTTCCTGTTGCAGCCGTCTACCTGGCCAAGAAGAACATCCGGAAGCAAGGGGAGCTGATTCAGCATGAGAAGGCAAGCCCCCTGAAGGGAGCAGGTGGGGAGCATGGGGGGGGGGTTGGAGGGAAGAAAGGACGCCAGGGGTGCAGTCTTCTCTCTTTAGCACCATAAGGGGCAGGGGGAGGAATCCTGCCTGTGAGTCCTTCTGTCCATCCATCTGCTGCGTTGCAGGAGGATTACAACCAGCTGCACAAGAGGATCAACCACACCTGGGATTTTGTGGTGATGCAAGCACGGGAGCAACTCCGGTGAGCCTGTCAGGGAAATCCCCCCCCCCTGCAGCCGCCGCCTTTGTTGAGGGATGGGGCAACGGGTGGGTGGGGGAAATGGACGGATGGCTCCTGAGGCCCTCATGCTGCTCCCCCTTCCGACAGGGCAGCCAAGCAGCGGAGGAAGGGCGACCGCATTGTCATCGAGTGTCAGGAACAGGCCTTCTGGCTGGTCAACAGGCCCCCGGTAAGCACGGCTGGCCCCTCACCCACCCAGGGAAGCCCCTGTCCTTTGGGTCTTGGGCTCAGGGGTGGCCGGACAGGCCCTCCTGCCAGCTCTCACTGTTGACTGTACTGCCTAGGGCAGACCGGTGGGGGGGGGGAGAGAATTCAGGACAGGACCTTCTTGACCATGTCCCCCTCAAGAAAAGGCTAGCCAGCCTGGCATCGCTCCCGCATATTTCTCTGAAGGCAGAAGCAAGGCTCTGGTAGCACAGGGCCTTTGCCCGCCAGCCCCCCCACCCCGCCCCCTGGAATCCTCTTTCTGACCAAGTCAGGAAGCTGGACTCTGGACTCCTGCGTTCAAATCCAGACTGGCCTGAAGGAGAAGTGTCAGGTTGGGTCAAACCGAAGCAGAGGCCGCCAGCGGCCGTCCAGCCTGAAGCTCCTGAGAAACTCTCACCTGCCTCGTCTCCACGCAGTTCTCTCGGCCCCATTGAACACAGTCACGGGCAAGCTTGGGGGCAGGGAGTGGCTTCTGTCCAGCGTCTGAGGGGGCTTTGCAGGCTGGTCAATACGATAGTGGGGTGGAGAGGCAAGGCGGGGGTCCACCTTCTCAAGCAAGTGTTGCCTTTATGGCCTCCCTTGTTCAGGAGGCCATCTCCCTGTGCTCTGTGGTCCTGGGGGCCGGTCCTGAGAGGAACATGGGAGGAACAGCCCTCTGGCTGGCAGGAGGGAGGCAGGGACGGAGGGAGGGAGGGAGGTGTCCACTCCCCAGGAAGCACTGAGTGACAGGTATCTCTCCTCTCCTCTCCTGGGTCTGCAGCCTGGCACTGGCAACCTGATGGACCAAGGCCCAGAGCGGAGGAACCGCCAGGGCACACGGGTGCAGCTGGTAAGGAGATGCAGGGTGGGGGGCAACTGGCCTCTTGAGCAAAGCCACCCCCTCCCCTGCCCTTCCCTTCGCTTGGCAGCCAGGATTGGGTTGCCAAGGATGGCCCTTGCGGGTCATCAGAGGTGGAGAAAATGACACGCAGACCCATGTGCAGGTGGAGTGTGGACGGTGCGGTCATTCTCTGGTGGCCCCTTGCAAGATCAACTCCCCTCCCAGCAGGAGAGCCTAAGTTTGGTCCAGCCCTTGGGTGGAGGGAGGAGGGGTGGGGTGCACAAGAGCATTGGCACTCAGGGGGGGGGATGGACACGATGCCCCCTCCCCTACCTTGGGATCCCTTTTAATGAGGCAGAGATTGTTGTGTGTTGCCCCCACTAACCCTCACCCACCCATGTCTGCCCTGTCCTGTCTCTGTGGGAAGCTGAGGAGGGGGGTCCATGGGTGCTCCCCACCTGGCGATGGCCCTCCTTGTTCTTGGGCAGGGGGGGTTGTGTCCTTTCTCGGGGGGAGGGGCTGGGAGTACCTGGTTCTCTTTGCTTGTTCTGCCTCCGTCCCCCTCCTGCCCACTCCCGGATGTTCCTACTGACTGTGTGTGTGGGGGGGTCTGTTTTCTTTTCTCTTCTGTGTGCTGCTTTGTCCGTCCGTCTGTCCACGTAAGTCACTAACCAGACTACTAACTCACAGCTGAAAGTGGGGGAAATGGGAGGGGGGACAGCAGGGGAGGGGCGGCTCGGTCTGGATCGGGGTCTCAATGGGAGGGGCCGCTACAACCAGGAAGGAAGCACCCTGAGTACTGGAAGGGGTCGGGCTGTGCTCAAGAGAGTGACGCTCGCTCGGCTGGCCCAAACTCCAGGGCTGGCTGGGGGCGATGGGCTCCTGGTGGCGCAGATGGGCAACGAGCCCACCTTGGGCCAAGGCAGCCTCTGCCTGCCTGTTTGGTGAGAAGTGTGAAGGAAGCCATGGGGGGCCCCACCTTGCACACTCACTTTTGCTTCCCCTTCTCCCCCTTCCCCCCCCCCCCGCTCTGCAGGAGAAGAATGCCGACTACTACAAGCGGGAGGTGAGTGCCGCTGGGCCACAGCAAGGGTGGGGTGGGGGTGGGGGGCTATCTGCATCCAGGTGGGGTGGGCAGAAGGAAAGGGACACTTGCTCGCTTGGGAAGGGCATGGCACCCTCTCTCCAAGGGCTTAGGGTGGCAGAGGGCAAGGAGGGCGGAGGGCGACGAGGTGGGCATTGGCAGGTTCCAGAGACTGACGCCCTGCGGGGCTTGAAAAACAAAAAGCCCTCTCCCCCGCCCCCCGCCCCCACAACAGTCCTGCTCTCTGGAGGGTTTTGCCCGCCCGCAGTGGGGCCTGTGCTCAGAGTGGCTCTGACTGGCCCGAGGTTGTTGAGGGTGGGGTCGCTTCCAGTGCCTCCCGCTCCCCTTTGCTTGAATACAGATCCGTTACTTCCTTGCTGCCATGAGCCGAACACGCATCAAATCTTCCCTTTGCCTGGAAGGGTGAGTGCAACGAAACTGGGGGGTGGGGTGGGAGGGTTGGATTCAGAGCGGGAGGAGGGGACCTCAGGGTTCTGGCTGTGGGCAGTTCTGGCCCTCCTGCCCTCCCCCAGAATTGAAGGTATTGAACGCCACACGGAGAAGCTGCTCGGCCACCCTCGGCTCTCTCATTTTGGCCTCTGCTGTGAGATGTTCGTTCTGGTATTTCCACCCCGAAGGGCTTGAATGCATTTTTGGGGAGCTGCCACTTCCGCCCTGAACTTTCCCTGCCTCTCTGGTGTGGGGCCCATCCTGCCCCCCCTCGTGGGCTGCTCAGAACGGGCCCTTCGGCCTCCCCGGCCGGCCGGCCTCTCTCCTGCTACCTTTGCAGGTACGTCAAGTTCAATGAGCAGTACGTCCCCCACGACCCCGTCATGTCCGGCTGCCTCCCCAGTAACCCCTGGATCACGGACGACACCACCTACTGGGCAATGAATGCCCCCACGTAA